AAAGAGTATACACTGAATTGTCTTTAACACTCTCCAAGCATTTTAACCAAATGCCTTGTTACATGCAATCACCTCTGATCAGTCCTCCAGGCCTTTCCCACACAGCAACTCTTGTATCAGGCAATTTTCCAACAAGGCAGAGAAAAGAAACCCATATTCTGTATGTCATTTTGGATACCACTTTAGTTGGCTCCCAGCCACATACACCACAGAAAAACAAAACAAAACCAATAAAAAACCCACAACATTTTTAAAGTATCGTGTTTAAATTTCTGATAAATCATATCCTGAAATTTTTGTATGTTGGAAACAAAACTTGTCATGCAAATTTCAGGTAGGTAAGTATTGAAGAAATTAACACAACCTTGGGTTCCAGGCTTAAACCAGATACCAAAATTGGAAATATTATGCAAAGAAGTCCAAAATAGTTATTTCTTTCCATCAGCTATACTGAAAGCTTTATTAGGCCTTTTCCAATAAGTAACTCTCATTTCCTTTGTTCCTGATGCTCCAGTGCCATACAAAACAGGAATGTTAAAAGCAACAATGTATGAGGAATCAGGTGGGAATTTCCTGTCTCACATGAGACTTTATTCAACTCCACCCCCCATCTGTCTTCCTTTAACAAAAGCATATTAAGCTACTTCCATCATCGGTGAGACTTTCATTTCAGCCTCTTTCCTTTTATCTGCAACCCCAACCATACTGAGATATTCCCTCTGTCTTTGTTTAAGCCAAGTTGTGTTACATGAGTAGCTGGTGAACTCACATGAGTCACCCAACATGAATCAGTTCTGTCTAGTGCACATCACTAACAGCAGTCCTGTCATTGGTATCCCAACAAGCTGAGTAGTGCAGCTTTTTCAGGAAATGCCTTTTTACCTAGTCTCAATGTACTTAGGTAAAGCTAAACAGTGGGATTTTATGGCATGTTTGAAAAGTGGGACAAGTTATCATGTGCTATTTCCTCATATGAAACCAAGGCAGTCAGACTTTGTAGGAAAATGCTCTCCTTGTGTAAGCATATGTGGAGATGTAAGAGTCTGTACTTTTAACAGACTTCAGTTCATAGAGAACAAAAAAATTGCATCCAAGACTCCAGTCATACTTCATGGTTACACCCCTAAGGGGCTTTTCTATTTCAGGTAGTGAGACAGCCAACACTCAAGCAGATTATTTTCCAGTTAGGTTTTTCCTGTTGAGTACTGGAACATTGTGATGAGGTAACTCCCTAAGCCTTCTCCTCTCCGGTGAGAAAATACCTAACTTCTTCGTACTTCCCTCTCAAGGCAGGTTCTCCAGCCACTCACTCATCTTCATGGCCGTCCTGCAGACCGTCTCCAGTCTGCCTGTGTCTTTCTTTAATTGTGGAGACCAGGACTGGACACAGTACTCCACAAGCAGCGTGAAAAGCCTGTCTCTGCTAGTAATGCCCATGTGGATCCAGCCCAGGATCCACTTTGTCTGTGTTGCTGCAGCAGCACACTGTTGCATTATGATGGTGGACAAAAAGCTGAGCATAATGCAACAGTGTGCTGCTGCAGCAACACAGACAAGTCCCTTTCAGCAAGACTTCTCAGCCACACAGACCCTTGCCTGCACTGTAACCCCTTTGGTTATGCTGACCCAGGTGCAGGACTCTGCACTTGTCTCTGTTATGCCTCATACTGTTCTTGCTAGCCCAGTCTTCAAGCGTGCACAGGTCTCTCTGAAAGATGGCTCACCCTCTTAACGCCCATCTCACAATAAGCTGGTCTCTTCTCCTACACACTGAAATTTCACTTCTGCAACACAGATACTTCTCCAGTGCTTCAGATGGGCCAGGAACAAAGTCATCTTACGTAAAACTCTCCAGCAGAAGAAACAGAGATAAGGCAAGAAATATGACTACAGTACAGCAGGTTGTTCTAAATAATGCTGTTGGATATACAGGGAGCAGGATATGACTGGGAAGACAACCAGCAGCATGTTCTCAATTCAACAATATACATATCTTCTTTATCACAGAACCTTTCACAATGCTTGTGTTACTTTTGGGATACCCAACTGGAATAGGTGCTACCTATAGTTACCCTAGTTTTCCATTACTTTTGTAATTGTACGTAAAGTATAAAAATACCATTTCATATGTGTGGAACAACACAATTATGCATTCCAGAACAGAAGAAAATAACTGTACCTGAAAGGTATGCAACTTTTTCTTTCAAAATTGGTAATACTTCCATAGCCTTCATTTCATCATTTTTGCGAAACCCTGAAAAAAAGACAAGGTAATTAGTCAAATTCAGACAAGCTCAGCTTCTACATTTAATTAACACACTGTGTAACATTTAGCTTTGGAATTCAATCTGAATGTTATGATTAGAGGAATTAGGATAGCCTTATAGTAAAAGGATTCAAACAAAATAAACTACAACTAAACTTCTGAAATATACTAATCAACAAGTCATTGCTTTAACTACCTTAACACAAATAGCATGGTCTGTTAGCAAGCCTCAGTAGAAATCAGGATACTGAATTAGCCTTTTCCTCAGTAAATAAAAACTATCAGTTGGATCATGTTGCTTTCAGGCATTCCAAATCCTGCTTTCCCTTTTCGTTCCAGAAGAGAGAAATAATATCAAACCAAGAAGAAACAGTAGCTTTACAGCAATCACCAGTCAAAAAAAAAGCAACAAAAAACCAAAACAAAACAAAAAACCACCAAACCACTACACCAAAACACTATCAATCAATCCCCTATACTATTTAAACACCACTCGCCTTACATTGCTTCTGCAAGCAGAACTGGAGACACAGCTCTCATCTGTGTCTTTTTCACTGCCTGACGGAAGCAGCATTTTGTAACAGAGAATATATTTTTGTCAGGTTAACTCTACACATGCACAGTTTAAAATGGTCCCTGTGGTGAGTGATTACAGTCAACACTGGAAAGCAGCACACCACCAGCTTGTCCCTCCTCTCTAATTCCATTACGTGTATGTGGCCAGATTCTAACCATCTCCCTGCTTTAATATGAAAGACTTAGGAAGCATTTTATTTATGACCTTTTATTGACCTGTACAAAACTGGCCCCTTTTGGCCCAATCTTGTTCATATTACAAAAACTGGGTGGCTTTTGTACCCACATTTCAACTGTCTGCCTGTATGATCTGTCCCAGTGTCTCTGGATTCAGGTGCATTTTTAAAACAAAATTCTCATTTCTTAAGAAAGTGCCCCTTCTGGCGTAAATGGGAAGCACACACAGTACAGTTGAAGCCCTGAAGTGCTACTAAGTAATAACAGTCCAAACAGCCTAGTACAACACAGTTGTTGTGTTCTTTAAAAGCAACAGTTTGAGACATTTAGAAGGTAAAATAAGCTACTTAATTAGAGCAAACTCTGGTATACATGTGGCAGTCTTCTAAAATATATTGTTGCTCTGTGCAAATGGGCCATAATCCCTCATGAGATGGCAGCAGACACTGTCAGTTATGCCCGGGGGCAGAGGTCATAATTTATCTTCCTTCTCAAAAATATGAAAATGTTTCAAATCCTTTGGTCTCAGGCTCTGAGACCAAGCGTAACTACATAAAAGGTTTATGTTATGCAGTACTGAGACTGATGTGCCACTACATTATCTAGTTATGGGCACTACACTTCAAAACATATCAAGAATGCAATGAACAGAACACCCATGGGACAAAGATGGCCAGGTGTTTACCTGTCATGAGCTGCGAAGAAGGACTAAACCAGATGACACTTGTTTTAGTCTGCAGAACTGAGGTGAAGGAGACGGTACAGTCCTTACAACATGAAGTCTACAGTGGTGGCAGAAGTAAGCTGGCTAGAAATGCATCAGGAGGTTTACTTTAGATGATAGGAAGTTTTGTCAGGGAAAGAACTGCCAAGCAGCATATGGGAGTGCCTGTGGAAGACTATGGACCTCTGGGGATTTTTTAGAAATGCGTTTATAGACAAATGTCTGTCAGCAATATACGCAGGCCAAGGCAGGGTTCCTATAGTTCATGATAACTGAAGTGTTCAAACAGGACATTGTCTCAGCACTCACAGATTACAAACAAAAGAAAACTAAACAAATCCTCTTCCAGCCACTGGTTAGTTCCCTGTTCTCCCATGAACACTATAAACAAAATACAAACCCAAAATTTGATATACATTCTCAGAAAGGCTCAACTAGGAAAACTGGTTCCTTGGGTAACCATGCTACATGGAGGGTTTCTACAGGACAAATAGTATTTTTCTATTGCACAGCAACTCCAGACCTACAAAGCAGCATCTTTCATTATCTGAGCTTAGACTCTCAGGGGTCAGCTCCAAAGAAACCTCTAGCATTACTCCTCCCTAGATGGTACTGTCTATAGGTTATCAACCTTTTACTGAAACTGCCTGCAGTTTTGTTCCTACTAAGTTTTCATTTAGTAGAAATTAAAGATTTAAACAAAACTTTAAGAAAACTTTGGCTTAAATAACTCACCTAAAACGACTGCAAATACCTTTTTCCACCTGGAAATATTTGGGCTTCAGTTGACTGTTAAGGCATAAAGGCACACTTCCAGAGTTACTTTTTGTTGTCGATTTTTTTTGTTGTTGTTGGTTGGTTGTGTTTTTGTTTGTTTTTTTTTTTGGGGGGGGGTTGTGTGTGTGTGTGTGTTTGTAAGTGTTTTGAGCTACCCACCATAAGCTTAATGCCAATTTAGCATGCTCAGTTCTCTAATCAACCATGGAGAGCCCTTTTCTTTACAGTAAATTCAGAGACAGAAAACACCTTCTCCTCACCTAAAAAGCATGCAGAAACTAGTGCTGTACGTTCTATCTCAGCTTACAATTACCCAAGACACTGGTGTTACCGCAACTTGCTTGCTCAGACCTCTAAGCCCTTAAACTACTTCACCTCAGATGATGTGCAGTAGCTGCACATTTTATTTTGCCTGTGGCATGTAAGAAGCACGAAACATTTAGCTAACATTTCTTTGGCTATTAAAGGGCTGCTGAAGGTAAACACCCTAGCAAATACGTTAGTGCTTGGCTCGTGTTCTGGAGCTGCATATCCTTAAACCTGACTGCCTCGGATTATCATATCCCTGCTGCTCTAAACAGCCTGTTTTTATTCCTGTTCTGCAATGTTAACGCTTAACTGAAAGGACTGTGGGGACTACAAGTGACGAAAGGATCCTGGGGAGCAAGGAGGGTGAACATGGCAAGAACGTATCGTATTTTTCTCTCCAACCGTGCAACAATAAAACAAAAAAGCAGCCATACAAGCCGGTCTTAAGGGCTTGGGGCGGGCCGTTCCCACCCCTTTTTTAAAAAGCCATTCGAAAACATCTGCGATTATGAGGATATTAATACCTATATATATATAAACGGAAAGGCATTTACCGCACTCAAAACGAAATGCCATACACATATCTGCACCCATCTCTCCTCACCCGCCTCGGCTCCCTCCGCGCCGGCATCACATGTTCCTGGGGGTGATGTCATTGTCACCCCCCGGGCCGCAGCCCCCGCGCTGCCCCCGCCGGGCCAGCCCGAAGGGGACGCACCAGCCCGGCCGGCACGAAGCACACCCGGGCTGTCGCTGCCGCTCTCTTGGGAGCACCATGTGTATGCGGGTACAGCACACCTTCCTCAGCCTGCCTTTCGCTATCCCGGTAACCTAAGAAGGCATTTTTATTTAAAAAATGGGGGGGTTAAATAATAAATCCTACGCTAGTACCGTCTTCAAGATAATTTTAGTCTGAAACGAGAAAGCCACCCTTGATATTTTAATACTTACTAAAGGAAAATTCATCGTACAGTTTCACGTTTTTAATAAGCAGTATGTGCCTTTGTTGTCTCGTACATCATACACTCCTCCCTAACTACTAGTCAAGGAGGAAGTTCAGAAGATTATGCTAATTATAGTCAACTTTACTAGTTTAAGTATCACACCCCAAGTAGTGCATTTCAATTTAAGAGGTTCCCCTCCCCCCCCCCTTAAAGCTTTTAGAATTACAGTCCCCTGAATTAGTGATACTGCCTTCTAATAAACCAGTCTGTTATCACAGAGCAGTTACTGAAGTGGTGTATCCCACAAAGAAAGAGCTTTAGAACAGTTGCATAAACTAGAAAGTCATCTTTCCCACGAACACACCACCTCCTCCTTGCACCCAAAACTTCAGAGCCAGCCAAAGTAACAAACCACAATGTCTGTACTTATCTTGTTTTTCATGAGGTATAAAGCTAAGATATTTTGCTGCCATTTATCCAGGTTGAAAGATACATGAAAAAATCGAGTTCCTGCATGGAGGTGTCACCCGTAGGAGTTTTCCACGAGCCCTTTACCCAAATGGCCAGGACAGCCATTGTCACTTGGGCTGCAGGTGTTCTAAAATTCCATGGTGATGCATGCAGAGCATCACCTGGCCACAGAGCTGCATGGCTGCCTGCTCTGGAGAGCAACCCAGTGGAAAGGAGCCACCTTCTGCCTGGAAACCACAATGTCCTATAACTCCACTGCTTCCCTTGGTACCCAACTTGCTGGAACTTTCCACAGGCACTGAAATACAGTGAGCAGATCACCTTCAGAGCAGTAACAGAAACTGGGTACCACGTGTGGTAGATCACACATCTAAGACAAATGCTGTCCTGGTCTAAGGCTGAGACGTCCTTCAGGCACAGGAAACAAAGTAACTTAAATCATCTCACACTGCAATGATCAGTAACCAGTCAGCCACACAACTGAAAGGAGCAGATACAAGTGCCTTAAACACATCTTAAAAAGAAAAAAAAGAAGCCAGACTCAACCCATGCTTTAGACTCTCTTTGGACTTCTAGAGAATGACTCCATGTGTGTCACATCATCAAAAGTAAGCAAGTGTCCTTTCTGTCAGGCCGTTCCCTCCAGTGCCAGCATTCTAATCCTCGTCTTTTCTTTGACAGAAAGCCCATACTGAACCAGAGAAATGTCATTCAGCGAGCTCTTCTCCAACAGAGTACTCTCTTCATTTCAAAGGACCTGCTCTGATATGCTTCTGCTCAAAAATCCATACTCTATGCTAAGCTCTATAGGAAGGGGAAAAAAGCCACATTGAAACTGTGACAGCACCACTCAAAACTGTTACATTAATGCCAGAGTTTAGGTACTCGGGGAGATAGGTAATACATGGATTTATTTAGGTTAGTTAGAAGAGGAAAAAGAATATTTGCTACAAGAAGAGACAAAAAACTTCCATGCAGGAAGAGATGCTGCCATTTCCTGCCTAAGCAGCAAAT